GATGGTGGTCCTTCTAGGAGTCCTTTCCTTTTTGCCATATCTTAAGTGTACGAGCACTGAAGTCGAACCCAGACGAGAAGAAAAACGTACAGAGGGTCAGAATAGCTGCAGACGTCACAAACTTGCTTTCAGCATAGTCTACAAACGCTTTCCCCTTAGTTATGTGGACATTGTTCAAATAGTGTTGGATAGTGTGAAATATGCTTCAGTTAAACATATCAAAATTTCATGCGACTTGCTCAACTGGGAAAAAAGTCACGGCAAGTTAAAGTTGGCAAGTTAGACTTAAAGCAATACTTTTGAGCGCTACTGTATTTTATGCAATAGTATTATATATAGCATATGTATTTATTTTATATCCCATGAAGATTTTACAAGAAAAATCAGCGCGATATTACTTGACAACATTTACCAAGCGGACATACAGCAATATGAACAAAAATATAGCTTCGAATTGAAAAAAAAGGAAAATCTGGGCCCACAGACGATAAGAGCTCGCGATGTAGGTATGAAAATGAACAATCGTGTAGTATCTGTAGTAGGGCGGAGTTAGTGTAACGGTAAGAAGCGCACTATCCAAAGATCCAGAAATCGAATCCTGGACCGGCACTCGCACCAGCTAACTAATGCTTTCATCCTTCTGGGGTCGGTGGTATAGTGGCAAGTGCCGCACTTCACAAACGCATGGTCATGGATTCGAATCTCGGATCTATATCCGCTTAGGCCAACCAAACCTTCCATCCCTCGGGGGTCGGTAAATTGGTACCAGACTCGTCTGAGAAGTTAAAAGCACTGACTTGTACATCGGCTGGCCACCGCAAGTCATTGTAATAGGCCATATATGCATCCAGTACGCCACCATGATTCAGTTTGGAACTCGAAAGCGGGGCGCGTCCTTCAGACGGGATTCATCAACACCCGAAGACTTTATCATTTTGTGTAGTGACAAACCTCACCAAGTAACACCAAAACGTGAGGCAAATAATGAGATTTCGAAAAGTTAAGCAGCAACCCTACCGTAATAACCTTTGACACACCTAAGACCAGACTCAAGTTGGAATTGCCCAAAAAGACCACCCGAATCTGCTTATGAATGAAACCAGTTCCTAAAGTACAAGTTGCTGATCGAGGGTCGTTTCGATGACTGATTCATTTGATCGCAAACCCCTAATTATGGAGGGCAGAACTTGTGCGTCGACATGAAAAACTTGAAGATCGGCAAAGGAAAGCATTTCGGAGCGGTGTTTTGAAGAATAACAATCATAATTAGTATGCATTCACTTCCTTCAGAATCCCTCCTCTGAATCATTTCTTACCAAACTATTCAACGCTCCATTCAGGTCTGTAGAGCCTCCCACACTATCTTCCGTTAAGATAGGCCTGTTGAGTGCAGGGGTTTTGACTTCATCGAAGTCAGGTCTCCTGGGTCTTACTAGCGAATCATTTGACTCTATAGCTAAAGGCACTGATGGCTCTGCGTAGCCGAAATCGGCCATGGGATGCCAAGAAGTTCAAACTGCTTGACCGATTATTCCCAACTTGCTATCTTACGGATCATGGCGCTGTGATACAGCAAGTAATAGGAGGCCTCTATGGCCGGCGGCTGATGAGTGGACGAAGAGTTGACTTTTAGTTATGTGGAGACCGAACTGGGAGTCGGTACACAAGTGATGATGCACTTGTTGTGAGCAGCGACGCCTCTTACCGCTCACTCACTTCCCTCCATTGATTTATACGTGTTTTCCCCAGAACGGACGTTCGAAAAGCGTATCGAATAAGAAGGCTCTCGATGAGGCAGAAACTACCACATCTCATGGATAACACTAAAGAGACTTACACCTACAAGACTTTGGATCAGCTTGGATTTAGTGGTTATCACAGAAAAGCAACGATGGAACGTAGTGAAAGTACCGGTTGAGATCGTAGAAACCACAGACGCTGGTTCGGGGATGGTAGTGGGATCGAAGGACAACGTAGGACATCATCTTGAAACGGCGCTTACTCAAGACTTCAGAGACGTCCTTAGAAAAGACAGAACTTTTCAGAAACTTGTCAAGCTACATTGGTTAAAGAGACTTATACCTGACAATCACGTAGAAAGCGATCCGATTGGAAAGGTTAGCTTGTCCTGTGACGTGAAGCTATTGGTTATTGCAGATGCAGAGTACAGAGTTATAGTTGCAGAAACTGGTACTGGTAAAGGAGGCAGAAGCCAAGGGGAGAAGCATGGATGCCGATGGGACAGGTCTGCCACGTCTTTGTTGGCGTACGTAGGAGCGAAAATCAATGGGTCCAATACCAATGTCCAGTATATGGAATGGAGATCAACGCGAGTGTGGTGGTCAACAGAACGGCCACCGTGGACCAATACAAAACTTTTATTTGAGTTATTTACTCATGACTCTGGGAAGTGTAGAACAATCACAACGTAACAAGGTCATTAATCTAAAAATGATTTTCGAGAGAGCTCCTCTGGGTCTCCGTTGTTCAGCGACGGTCAGCGAGTTGAGAAGCCACTTTGGAAGATGATGGTAAAACCTATGCCTGTACCTCACAGATGGAGAAAACTTTTTAAAAAATGCTAGGTTCGGAAGACCCAAGCTTCAAGCTGCAGGTGACTTCCTGGAGACCACAGCAGAGCAAAAGAACAAGAGAGAATGCGTAGGAAATCAAGCGGATCATCGCCCAAGCTCTCTGTGAATAAGCCGTGCTTCTGTTTTTCAAGAAGAAAACGTTTGCAAGGAATTAACAATGTAGTTGCTATTTCAAATGCCGAGACTTCGCAATGCCGAGGAAGTCCAAGAAGAAATGATGCCATCAGTTATGGAAGTTGATGATAATTAAAAAGGGCTATTCATGATGAAGATAATTTTGCATACTTCGCGCGCTTCTGAGACTATTTCGGGAGGTAATTTCTAGTGGGGTTAAGTAGTTAGAACACGGAGGTCGCTACTCATAAGCCCTTATGTTCCATCCATGAGCAATTTAAACAGAAATTTCGAGGCAAAAGTAGACTTCTGTCGAGACCAAGAAAGCGCAACTGCCCACAAAAGCTCGAAATGGGAAACGTTTCCCTGAACATCTAACCCTTCCACTTCTACAAGGTTGGTTAGTAAGCATCTTATCAAGAATTTTGAAAGCTCTAATCAGAACATCAGCTGGGGAAAAGAATAGATATGCCAGAGCCACACTGAAGTAGTTCTGCGATCGTGAATGGAAGTAGGTTGCATGGCGTATCCTGGAAGGAATCTCTTAACATTACCTCTTAGGTTCAAATTGTAACACACCATCGGGGTAATATACTCATTCATAGAAGGCGGATAACAAAAAAAAATGGTCCGTGAAGGTAGCACCTTCGACAAGTGGGCGGAATCACCTGGACACTGCAGCTCGTCTCCGTGGAGAGAATAGAATGCCTTTAGATTTGGAAGACCAAGAAGAGGAGGAATTCATGGACGAGTGGAGGAAACTGAGAGACCGGATACTGCTCAAGCCAGTCGTGGTCAATAAAATGTCATCATTTCCATGAATACGCTTCCTACATTTTCATTCCCCAACAAATTCTGAGCATCAAGCCGCTTCCATTCTTGGAATTCTGTTCAACATATCAAAATATAATTCTCTAATTATGTGTAAGGGTAGAAGCCGAAAAGACGTAGATGGAAAACGAGTATTCCATTTCGTGAGCTCGACCCTAGACCATGAACCAACTGAAAAAAAGGCAGGACTGTGCTAATCAATGCCAAATAGTATGCGAAACGTTGGAACCCGAATCGGATTACCGTAGTGGCTATGGCGGCCGTGTCGGATTAGTAAGGCATGGACCTGTGCTATACAGGATGGTTGCAAAATGCAAAGGGGAAGGGTTGGGCGCCTCACTTTACCCTCAAATGTCCCTCTAAAATGATCTCACCTCAAATGTCAAGGTTCAGGGTACATAGCATCAAGTGGCTGCTTGTCTGTAAATGCGGAAAAACCGACGTAAACAGAGGGCTACTAGAAAGCAACAATGTATGTCTTACACCCATTCAATCGTCGCCACGAGTAACAGACGAAAAAGAAAGCATGACCCATCCCTGGAAATCGATGAATTCCTACCATTTCACCTCTTTTTCAAAAGCTATCAATTATGACACCCTATTCCCTGAAGTTCCTTGGCAGTTCTACAATTCACGTTCCAGTTCATTCGATTCAGGCATCACCTGAGTCAGCGACGGCGACCATTGGATGATTTGCATTTACGATTTCCATCAAATTTACGCCGAACGTCAAACCGTAGAACACTGTATTATTATCACACTCCAGCGGGTGAGGCCTGACAAATATTTCCAGAGTAAGAATGATGAACTGGACGGGGATGCCATTTGGAAAACTCCGGCAAAACAGCTAACGTTAGCTCCCGATGGCATCCCGCCCATGAGGACGACAGAAGCTGAGATTCTGCATGAAATCCTAAGCTTCGACCGGGATTGAATTTTGAGTTAGGATTTTTTTGAACGAAAATTAAATAAATATAAAACTTTATTTACAAACTCCTGTGATACAACTCTTGAGCTTTATTATTTGTACAAAAAGAAACAACATATTTTCAAAAAGTATTTCAACAAAAGGTATTTACCCATCACTTTTCAAGCTTTTGAGAAATCTTTCGTACCGGTCCTTCAGGCCTTTGGGGCGGATATGCTGAGTACATGATAACACCTTAAGAATGTTAATAAGATAAGGGCATTTCTTCCTCAGGACCCCTTACTGCATAGATTTTCGAGAATAAGTTTTAAAAATAGGTTACCACATTCGGCGGAGAATCCTCTGCTGGAACAGCTACGCAGTTCTTGAACACTCTGTCATAAACTGATTTTACCTAAAATTTTTTCAAAAACTATTCCGAAACTACAGTTAGTAACAATCTCTCCTACGGTTATAGTTCTAAAAAATACAACTAGATTAATGACTGGAGGTGGATATATCTATTATAATACTGAATCATAC